ACTGTCAAAACCCTTTCAATAAAATTTAAATTTATAAAACAGAATATTTGATTTAATGATTGCACAGATCATAACCGAATCTTTATGGTTATATATTACTTAATTAGAGATTTGACATCGAGTTGACAAAATCTTACTAGTTTACATTATACTTATTTTCTCGACAGGGTAATCTAAACGTGAAAACTTCTAGAATATCTGCCTACATCGACAGATGGCGCTGACAGCCTTAGCAAATTATGACATTATAAAACTTCTTTGTAATTAAAGTTTACTTCAATTTTAATTATTATAATATTTCAAAAAATAACTTAATTGATTAAAAACTTAGTTTTAAAAAAGCTAAATAAATAATTTAAAAACTTAGGTTATAAAGAATCGAAAAATATAAACTAGGAATTGACAAATATATGAACAAAGTAAAAATATAGATAGAAAAATCTGAAATCCATATCATACAAAGTTTAAAAATAAAAGCTTATTTTAATATATTTTTCTGAAATTGTTTTAGATTCTTAAAAATTTATTATTAAAATTGTTTAAAATTGACTACAATGCTCAAAACAATGACGTATTTAGAACGTAACACATATGACGTTACGCATACAACGGTTATTTCTGCATAGTATAAAAATTATATTCAAAAAGACTTAAACTATCCGAAAAGCACGTTTTTCATATTTAAATATTTTATATTCTTATGGAAATAATACTGCTTCAGAATTATAACTCTAAAAAGTATAGTAGGGGAATACCAGTAATATATTTCTCATGACCTAACTATGTAATGAGAAAGAAATAAGTAAATGTAATGTATTCACAAAAAAAAAAAAAATTATCAACTAGAAAAGAAATTATTTTATGATAAAATATGAAAAACAATGTGAATCTTTTGCTAAAAACATTGACCGCATGCAACATACAAGTTACTCTTATTAACCAGCTTCTTTTATTAAAATCGTTAGAAAGATTCATTTTTGTTTATTGGCAATCCTTAACGATTTATTTCAATATTTCCTTTAATATAAAAATTCAGGAAATATTCAATTTCTATGCTTTTTTTCGGAATAAAAATAAAATTGTATATAGTTTTCATCTTTTTATTTTAGATAAAATCAATTTAGTTCAATATTTTATACATTGTTATGATGCTCACGATTTCCATTTTAAAAATTTATACAATAGCAAATTAAAATAATTTTACCAGAGATTGTTTTTAATATTAAATAAATTAGTTATTTTAATATAATATACTGTACTTTTCAAATAAATACCGTTATGTAAATATTAAAATATTTTCAAATATTTTAAGAAATGTCTACATATAATCTCTCTATGTATAATAGTGTTGCAAAATACAACTACTGCTTATAACTTTGTTTACAGTATTTTACTATATAATTATATCACTTTTCAACACATTTAATTATATTTTAACTTTTTCTTTCTTTTTTTTTATTTTAATTTAAAATAAAGTATAGTTTGTCTATTTACTATAGGTATATTATTGATTTCTAAAGTATAGTAAATTACTTAAAATATTTTAAGATATTTTACCAAGTAGATCGTCTTACTGTCTAAAAACAATGAAATGAAACAATGATAAAATATATGAACAGTCCAAATCGTTTAAAGATAATTTTCTTATTTTCATTACCTCAAGTTAAGAGTGATGTCTAACTTTAATGTTTGATCCTTGACATTTTTTAATTTTATGAATTCTGTATATCAGAACGCATTTCTGGCTGAAATATATTTAAGTTAAAACAAAAATATTCGTATAATGTCTGAAACGATGTAAATTATATAGGATTTAATTGTGGCTATCTTATAAAATATAGCTACGTATTACAAAATGGCTATAGTTAAGTTATATACAGACTTGCATTGATGCAGCTGTTATAAGCACAGACTTTAAGGGAACCTTAATAGCGAAAAAAGGAATAATGATTTCTATTTTATTATTATTTGCAATATAGCTTCCAAATAATTTCAACAACAGTTTGGACAGTTATTACCGACAGATTTTTCCTTAATGGATTGCTATTTATAGAAGCAGTTACTGACAGTCTTTCCCCCATCATGAGACAAGTTGCCTGACATCTGACATTCACATTTCTCTCCTTCCATTATTATATAAGGAAAGAAACTTTTCATCGAGTCACCTATCAGATTTTCTAATGAAAAAAAAAGGATTACAATATAAATTTAATGATATAAGTGATTAAGATACACATATAAATTATGCCTATATCTCATTATCAAATTGTATCAGAATTTACTAGAGCAAAATATTAAAATTTATTTTATGTATTGCATATTTAAAAATAAACATAATATTTTTAATTCAATAATTTTTGATACGTCAATCATTTACATTAAAGAGTAGATATCGATTTCACACATTTTGTACATTGGTATTTTAATCTATACATAGGTATATGCAATTAAATTAAAAAATGAGAAAATACTCTCACGAAATATTGCGTGTAGATAAAAATGATGAAAACATATAATCTTCATAAAATACTATGTAAAGGAAAATACTTTGACAGTCAATTCATAGTACGAAATAATTGAGAAAATAGTCAAAACCTTAATTTAACTTTTAAACAACTGTTTATGATACAGAGCTATTAATCCGATTATGTTAATGCATTAAAGACCAAAAATTTTCCAGTGATACATCTTCATTTAAACAAACGAACAAATGTAATCTGAATACAGATCACTTAAGTTCAACCGGAATTATAATTATATGTAGTAATTGATTTTTCGTAATAAAATTTATCACAATTTACATCAATTTATCTAATAGAGATCTACATCACAAGGTACAACGGATTTTGTTTACAGATATTTTTATCAATATGCAATAAAAACTAATGGACTAATTTAAACTGTTACGCTAAGAGAAAAAATAATTATATGAAAATAGAAATATCTTCCTTAGAATCAAACAAATATTTTCAATTCCATGTCTAAATTAAATTCAAACATTAAGTTATAGTTAAACAACAAAATTTAATTACTTAAAATTTTGATCGCATAAAAATCTGTTAAATTTTATTGACATTACTGAGGTTATAAATAATATGTAACGATAAATATCATATAAAAATTTTAATCGAAACAGATAGTTTGCAGATAATATAATGTTTTACTTTTACAGGTATGATACCATTTACGTCATACGAAATATTTCATCTGAATAATACAGTAAAGAAGACGGGATTTGGCAGTTGTGTCGCAGGTTTGGCCCAATTCCAGTCGCCAATAGGGGAAGAAAGTGAGAGGAAAGGTATGCGAGCGACGCCAAGCATCGTACTGCTATGACCGCCTTAGAATATTGATTACGTCCTAGCACAGAAGAGATTCCTGTTACAATGCATGTGTACATAGATAGATATAGTAATGCGAAGCAATAAGAATCTTCTCGGATTTTGCGGCTTTCTACACATATATTGAAACCTTACAATTGAAACGAGAACAAAAGAATAATGCGAGATAAGATGTATATTTTATTTAAAAAGAAATTCATATACGCTGCACATGAAATTTTAAGAATCCTTTTCATTATTCGTAGTCAAGTGTATAATCTGAAAAAAATTAATTTATCTAAAAATTTATAAATAGTAACATAAGCACTATTATTTTTATGGAAAACTTTACATTATTATTTTTGCAATACATAAATATAATTTTATTTATTTGCAATAATTGAAATCAATCATCTCCCTCAAAATTTAAAAATTAATATGTTTGTTTAAATATTAAAAAAAATATACAACGATTAATTAACGAAAAGGGAGAAAAGCAAATCTTAAACGTTGTTCCTGCCTTATTTTTATAAGCTGTTATACTATCGCAGACCATGGCTGCGTTTATACAAATAGGTATTTGATCAAGCGACTGCGCAATCGCTTATAATTGCAGCAATTAACTAGAATGCCTTATGTCAAGACCAACAATGAAACCTTTCCTATCATTACCGTTCAACGCCCTTTCTAAGATTACCTGTCATATGCAAACATTTTAAAACGTTAGTACATATAAGCTCATTTCGAATAGGTAAATGAAAATTTCTTTTTTTAAAAGAAAAACGATGGAAAAAAGAGAAGAGAAAAAATAGTAGTGATTCATATAACTGGCAATGCTTTTTAAATCGAACGGGTGTGGTCAGTTCAAGTGATCACGTGACACTTGACTAAAAATCTAATGAGCCATAGAAAATCGAGCTGATATTTTCGTAGGTCTCACTATTTCTTTATTAAGTACTAGTTTCAGACTAATTTTATTTTAATCTACTAAATTTTTTAGTAGATCTGTTTTTAGTGTTATTTTGAAAAATCTCTCTCCCCTGTCTGTCTGTGTTTGTGTTTCAGATACATCATTACAACTAGAACATAAGAACGCTGCATTAAATAAAAAAAAAAAAAAAGACTGTTTAGACATGATATATTTATTTACTAAAAAGAAAACTCTTTTTTAACTGTATCATCACTTTTAATTACATTTGAGAAAAGCAAATTAAGAAAAGTAAAACAAAACGTATTTTACTATATTCTATTATAATTTAATTTTCAGTTAAATAAAAATAAAAAAAAATTATATTAAATAAACATGTCCATATTTTACAAAATGTGAAAGGAAAATCTAAAATTCTATATCATTGGTTATTTCAAAATGCATTTATTGATTGGTGGTATGTTTCCAACTGGATCATCAATCGATTTTCAGTTTGTGCTTATTTCATATCGTATAAGGCAACAGGTCTATTCGTAATGTTACTCTAGCAACAATAGTGGAAAAGATCAAAATCAAAAACAGTTTTCGAATTCTACATTTACAATAAAAAATTTATATTATAAATAATTAAAAAAAAACATTTCTTTACAATATTAAAAAGTTTTTATTGATTTGTTGACTTACCTGCTGAGTTTAAAGTTTTATTTATGTATATTTATGGCATTTAAAAAGTATTCAGTGATTAAGGATACAACCTGAGGGATCCATTTTTCGTGCCAACTACTAGAAGACGTTGCACAGGATCATATGCTATGGCTGTAGGCTGGAAGGGAAACCCATGACGAAGGGTCTGCAAAACAATCATCATAAATAAATTAGATCACAAAAAGCTACCTTATAATGCTTATCGATATTAATCTAATATACTATCAAACATCAAAACAACGTTTATTTCATTAGAAATATGTATTGTACTCTTACATTATTGCTATAATAACAGTTAAAATGTTCCTTTATAAAAATTTTACATAATTAAGTATTCTGAAAATAGGATATAATCAAATATTTTAAATAATCCTTCAACACTTTCTCATTTCTAACAAGTATTTTGTATCAGCGACAGATGTTCATATTTCATTTGGTAATAAATACTAACTTCAAATGTAAAAAGATGTTCAAATTTATTAATGATTGTTAAAATATTCATATCCTGATTATTATTATTATTATGACATTTAATATAATTATATCACTAATACAGTTCTTCGATCATCACTTAAATAAGCAATTTCGAAAGCATTAAAACAGAAATTTTCTTCGTATAATCAAATTTTATAAAATTTCATTATAACACCTCATAAAATATCAGTAATTAAGTCATGTCATTTTGCCATCTGTTAAAATTTGTAATATTCTTCAATATATATAAATGGTGATTAAAACAATAGTTAAACCCTTAATCTTTACGAATTATTTGTAAGTAATCAATATATGCTATATCAAATTAATTTAAAAAAAGTGAATATTTTAATGGTGACATGTTTTGTAATAAAACTGTATATAATAGAACTATAATGTTACAAAAATAAGTGATATTTCTTCCTTTAGTTTAAAATACTATTTTAGAATGAATTTTGAGAAAATGCTCTTCCAATTTTTATAAATATGACTTTGTATTCCATATGATAGTTGAATAAGATTTTGATAAAGTATTGTTTACTATTTAATTTTATAGTAACTTAGATGATATATGTTTTATTGTTTGCCAATTCCTTGAATCAACGTGTGTTTATTAGATTTTGTTTAATGCGTTTAGCTGTTTCCTAACCGAAGCAAGATATAACAAGATCATGATGTTTGCATTCTCCTTTGATAACTTATGATCATATAGGGTCAATTTTAACGAAAATTCGGAAAGATAAATAAAGCAAAACATTATGGTGATGGTTCTCTTTCCACTATCTTGATAACGACCAAAACACCAAACGTTATTTTACCGTTGATATCTCACAAATATACACAAAATATTAAATCCTATATAAGAAAGAAAATCAAAGTAGAAAGACTATCTACATTTTCTATAGTATTTTGTTCAATAAATATAAAAACTTTCACAAAATTTGAAGAATATTACGCAAACGAGAAAAAACTAAACTATTTTTTTCTATCTATATCGTGAGTAAACTTTGAGGATATTTCTAATTTGAACCATATTTCATTACCGGTATATCAAATTTATTCTTTTAGGAAGTAGACTTATATGCATTAATTGTTTGCTGAAGATTAAATATATGAAAATCGAAATTTAAAATTCAACATTTCCAAACCGATACAATGATTGTCTATACTGTATAACCAAAAAGCAGCAAGTGTAAAAATGTATGTACTAAATATAGATACAAAATATAATTAATATTAAAACGTTAAACGAGTATAATTTAATAATATCTATATATATATATATACACACACATACTTTTTTTTCATAAGTTGTACTTGTAATTATTATATTTTTATGAATAATATAACTTATAAACTCAAATATTTCTTACAAATTTATTAAACATTTCAGATATTCTGATTTATACTTAACAAAGCAACAAAAAAGTAAAGATAAATGAATTTAATTTTACGTATCGTCCGTAAATTAAATTTTACGAAAAGATCAATTTTACAAGAAAAATTTTCAAAAGTTCGTTACAAAAAGGTTTATTTTTTCTGCTAAATATTCTAANCGAAACCTATTACCATGTAAAATGATAACAATTTAGATTAGTAAGAAAATTAATCAAAATCATCTCTTTAAAAAACACTTTTTTAATTATTTTTAAAACTTTATTTCATTAAAAATATATGCTCTCCACCTCAAATCAGTACTGCAGTGTCCTGCTAGCAACAGAGTTGTGCCAGTCATCTATCTAACAACTCTCAGGGGGAAATTTTGAATTAAAATAACACGATTTCAGGTAAAAACTGAGTTCGTATACAGATAAGATTAGGAGCAGGAGCCCCTGATTTCCATATCTGACCTCGGATTTCGTCTATCTGACTCGTTTCTCGAGAGTAAGCAAGGATAGACATGAAAATTTATAGGTTATAATTTTTTTTCAAATTGTAGCCCAAATATCATTAGTTAAAATTCAGTAATAATTTCTAGGTTTAATGTTACTTATTTCATAATTTAGTTTATCTTTCAATTTTTAATTGTTATGCCTTACTTTATATTACATAATTTATAATAGCAATAGAAATTCACTAGTTACAATATATTAAAGTATTTTTGCAACAAAATTTTTTGTAATATAAGAACAAAAATATGGCAAACTTTTGATAAACGGAAAAATAAAGACAAAGCATCCTTAAATATTATCATTTTTTAAACTTGATTATATAATATTAAAATCCTATCAAAACAATATTAAAAAAAGGAAATCTGAAAAATGCTAGTTTCTCATTGGCAACGATTTAATCCCTACAGTTTCACTGTGCGGATGATTGAAGCCCATCAATTTTTACGGATCTCTTCAATGACAAGTGAAATTATCAGCAACTCCTGGAAATCACACTTTCTTTCACTATTCTCTGATCTAAAGAAAAAATTATTTATTCTCATTTTAAAAACTAAAATGGAAACAAAGTTAATGCATTAATCATGCTTTGTCGCTTATCGTTTAAGTTATTTTTGTAGATGCACGTTTTACGTTTTAAAGAATTTTCTAGAAACATTAGATTATTGAGTATAATTAGCAGAAAGATGAACGGGAAATACGAGTTGTGTTGTCACAAACCAGAAGAACCATTTTTCAAATGAAAAGCATGAAAGATACCATTCTAACTCGAAAGAAAAAAATTCTCAATTATTATTAGTTGTTTTCTTAAAGAATAAATTACGGTAAATCCAACTTCTTTATATTTTTCTTTATTTTTATTTCTGATAAATCTCAACGCTTAAAAACAATACAATTAAAAAAAACTACATAATTACCATACTTTATAATATGCATTCGTAATTTTATAGTGTTCTAATCATTTCTATTCTTTATTAAGTAACTATCAGCTGTTATTTTTTCTTTTCAATTAATTTTCTTCAAAAGCAAAAGTTATATGAATAAAATGAATAAGGATTAATTCAGTTAATTTTTATATTTCCTTTTTCAAAATACGAAACCTATTACCATGTAAAATGATAACAATTTAGATTAGTAAGAAAATTAATCAAAATCATCTCTTTAAAAAACACTTTTTTAATTATTTTTAAAAAAATAATAGTTACTTTTTTAATCATATTCTATAGTTTGCTTTTAGTTTGTATCATATAAAAGTATACAATTTGGCACATAAATGGTCACAATTTCGCAAAGGTTTTACAGCATTATTGTATTGGATAATAAAATCAAGTTATTTTGGAACTTCGCCATTAGTTACATTATCCAAGTGGATAATAAACTTACTCCAACTCTAAATGAAAAATATTTTATAACTTCAGTTATTGGCATCATCTTAAATCGATATTTAAAAAAATTCAAATCGATTTATTAAAAAATATCAAAGAAATTAAAATATTTAAACTTTTCTGTATCGTTATAAACGATACAGAAAAATTATTATATTAAGAAAAAAATAAGTATATATTACCAAAATCGTAATAAATTCAGATTATACAGACTTAAATATTATTGAACGTATGAAACAAAAAAGTCAGTACGATAATTTGAAAAGTATCTTCTTACACTAGTTAATGGTATTTTTATTATGTTATCAATTTAAGAATAACAATCATAATCCTTCATCCATTAGTATGTACAGAATAACATTCTTAGATATCTTATTTATGCAGAAAGCAATACTAAATTTAAATTGTCACGCAAACGTAAGAAATTTTCTTGAAATAACAAACAGAAGTAATCTCAGATTTGTTAAACATTTGTTTAGAAGAACGTTTCATTTTTTTTTCTAGATATATACATATATAATCAGATAGCAATGAATGAATGCTCGTAAATGATCAAATTCTAAATTACTCTAACTAATTTCAGTGAATGCAAATGTTTTTTGATGTTCAGATATGATTTAAGGAAAATGAGAAAAATAAACGTTATAGTAAACTAATTTTTTTTTATTTCAAATAAATTTATTTATAAATCACACGTTCTATCATCACATGAAAAGATAAATAATTATAATAATAATTACATATAATGTAACTGATTTATTAAATAAATTTAACGATTAACTCGAATATATAACAACTTTAATTCTTGGTAATTAGCTTAAACTATTTGATTACACTAGAAAACATTAAGTTAGCGCGTAATAAACATTAACATAAATTGTTATTTTTAAAATTTCATGTTTTAACTATTTTTAAAATTTACTTCATTATAGTTGACTTAAATGTCTGATTTACGAATGAACAAGTTTTTCAAACATTAATAAACAATTAAAAGTCTTAGCGATTTGAATTGGGAATATTTTTAGAAGGCATAATGAAAGGCATTTTTAAAATGATGTCATATTTCCAGAAATACAAAATCAGAAAATTCAAGATAAATTCTGCAATTTTCTGTTGGCTTAAGAGATTAAAAGCTTTTGCAGAGTGGTCAAATAGCAAAAATAGATTAACCCGTAATCCATAAAAACAAAATAAATTGATCACTCAGTTTTACGTTGACTCATCATTTTTTCCAAAATATCGAAAAGCCTTATTCATTCTACTTAATAAATTCATCTACAGCGATTACTAAATTTCTAAGATAGAAGAATTTGTCCATTTAAAAATACTGATAGTAATTTTATATTTTGCAATTTCTATAAATATATCAGCCCGATATATTTAGTAAAATAAATATA